GTAGTCGTTAAGTGTAAACTGCTGATAATGCATACAGTTTATCTTAACTAGACCTTACTATTTGATTACCACTCGAAGAAATATGCGAGCTAAACAAGGTAGTGGATCGATTTAGGAGCATCCGTTCGTAAGTGATAACTACGGGGGAAGAAATTCGACCAGACACAGCATTTGGTGTGATAAGTTGGCCGCACTAGGTAGCTGATGTCGAAAAAAAGCAGTGTATAACTTCGCAGTTATGCTCCCGATCTGGATCCTCATTCTGGATTCCTCATTCCTCGAACGAGATCCTTCGGTCAGAACTAGCTCGGTTGCGAGTAGAGTAAGCAAACAATGGTAGATGAAGGGACCACAAGTTAGCGAGTGTGGATGGTTGTTCCAGGAATTTGGAGAACAGCGAACAGAATCAACTCGTGATTCCATCACCGACAGATTATGACGACCGGCAGTAGTAGTGGTTCGAATACGTAAAAAATTGCGTCATGAGCCAAGGTGCATTCAATTCTCAAGCAGAAGGAGAAATGACCAAAGTATTTGTTATGCATTACGTCAAAAAATCCGATAAGTGAAAAAGTATGGGAATTGATAAATGAAGCCGAAAAACCAAACTGGCGTCCGAAAAGTGGGTCAGTCAAACGGACTCGCGCATCCCATCAGTAGCAGAGGATGGTTTGCCGGTGTCAGCAGAGAAATTATGCAAATCTCAACCACCGTGTATGGTCCAGTTTACAATTACCTTAGGGTCATAACCAACGAGACGTTCGCCATCGTGCCGATAAATTGGAGTAATGGTGAGGGAAGTTGAGAATGGTCAACAAGTAAAAATGAAGTGTGGACATGCAAAGTTGGGGTTTTCGAAGCATATGCACAATAGACCCGATAATGCACATGGTGGAACAGTGAAAACAGGGGTAATGTACATTGGTGAAAGCTGCTCAATGAAAAATTGTGAGACGGAACTTTGTGCACACATTTGAATCACCCGCTGTACGAAAGGATTACGACATGCGATCTCAACGTGAACCATGATTCGCAACATAGTGAAGCACATTCAGTTCAGACAGTGGGTGTTACTTGCCCGTAACACTACAATTACAACGGGATTCAAACAACCGATAGAAATAACAGGATTCGTGGAATGCGTGTGTCTTAAATGAACCCACAATGAATCAGAAGCCGTTGTGCGCGACTCGGTAGTGTAAGAGAGCAATTTATCGTGGCAACTGTAGTCAAACATACGCATCGACTCTGGCCATCAAAGGTGCCAGTCATCTGCGAACCCTATCCTGGAGGCTACATGTCGTATGCTGTTGCGGTATTGGTATGGTGCGCTGTTGGTCCGTAAATGGTTGGGTTAATTAGTACTTTCATACTACTCACACTTGGCGCAGTAGTACTAGCTTGCGCTTTAGAAGTGGACCTTTCGGTAAACGTCATTTTGTCATTCCGAATAACAAGTAATAGTTCAGAGAGGTTTGAAAACAATCAGTTGTTTTCAAACCTCTCTGAACTCACGACTACTCGATCGGTTCCAAGTATCTTCCAAGAAGTTGAAAATAAGTAATAGTCATCGCTCCCGAAAGTAGAAAGCAATTTCTCCGGCAAGGTCATTTTCGATTGCTTGTTGGCCGCATCGGATTGCTGTTCAAATTGCCCACTTCTTATTGTCCCCCTTAGTTCAAACTGGCATATGCTCTGACTGACTTCAGTAGTTGTGCATCTATCGGTAGGTCGGAGTCAGTAACCCGCCCTGAGGTTATCTAGACGAAGCGTCAACACGAATGGTACCTCCGTGAAAAGTGCTCCATGCAACACTACACATTTATCTCATGTAAGCATTGATCGATACTTTTCACACACCTAAGGGTAAGCACATAAAAAATAATCGCGGAAGCCATGGAGATCAAATCGCAGATGTCACAGAAATGCGCCATCAAACGGCTGTGAATCGTCAAGCAGCAACACAAAAGAGACTTCCCGGTATCTCGTCAATACATCCGTAATCTTCAGTATTGTGCACGGAACGCCTGCATGTGATAGAGCTTTCAGGTACAACACGGGTTATAGCTCGGTTCGCTTATCGCCACTGAGGAGTCCGCAATAGAACCTGTCTGAGTTTTGTGTCGAGGTCAAATGTGGCCGTGCTATACGAACTGTTTCTGTGGAGTTTTTAACACATGTTTACTTTAGAGGATCGAACTCGCTTTTTTCACCCGTCCTCACTTGTTATCACGCTGAGGTACACGCGTAATAGTTCGAAATCCCTGTTTCCGCGCCCATCAGGTCTATTTTTTCCCACAGCCACGTTGGAAGAAGCAAACTATCAATCGTTTACACGAAGCGCAATAGATGTGCAATAAAACACTGCGCTGGGCGGGAGATTGCTCTTCAGAAAAAAAGTGAGAATCACCAGCATACTTGGGTTACTTTCCTCATGCATCCATTTCATTTTTAGGGAAAATGGATAAATGAACAAGTACCATCAACTCCCGAAAATATTCGCGGCTAGGCATAGTTTTGCTGCAATGGGCCTGGTTTCACCGAGTGGATGACACACTTGTATCGGTACAAGGGCACAGTAGCCATCGGGTCATCTGTCATTGAGCGTGCTGTAACCGTGGCGGTGGAACCATCATTTACACCTCCACTTCTTGGTGCACATCTACGAAAGTGTTGTTTTGCTTCTGTTCTCCATGTATGTCTTGCTTTGTTCTGAGATGCAATCCAAGTGGTATCACTGCCTGCCGCTCAATCTTATTGGATAAAATCTAGGTTTCGCCGTCTTCTGAAACCCGAAACAGAAGCCTTTTACCATGATACTGTCATTCAATATGCCGATTGTTCCTGAGGTATTTTTTCTGGTGACTTTAACAGATTTGGCACTCAATTCCGCACCGATCCTGGGCTACAGATTCAATGCGACTCTGGAACTGGCATTCGTTAACAATGTGAAGATGTTCACCGTATGTGATACGGCAACATGTGGTAGGTATGATCACTCAACATTTAAGCAGTGTCCTGCAGGTTACTCTAAGACACCATAAAGAGGATGCTCGTTGTAGTGATCGCAAGTTCAGGTAGAGGCAATGTTCCGCACAGAATATTGACCGACTATGAGAAATGTTTTCATCCAATGGCTGCAGTTTATTTCCTGACATTGATGTATCTACATATTGTTATCGGTTGACAGGGTACATGAGCTATTGTTTTGACATTTGTTGTCCATGCGAAACTCTGTTTATCCGTGCGAACAGGTCCTCTTCCCTTCCAACTGAAGCAGTTGCGCAGACAAATGCAAGCTTTCTAAGAAAAAGACAACAACTCATCAAAGTCACTTACTGCCCTTAGAAAAGAGAAGTTGCGCAGTCCCAGTAACGGGTTCATTCAGGCTAAACTTGGGAATATTAGCAGTCTTAAACTGGAGGATGTTGAAAAAACCAAGCGGGGTCAGTAGGCGTATACCAACCTCAAACAAAGATTTGGAAAAACTGAACCTTGACTACTGCAGGTACTACAATAATCCGATCTACGCCTCATCCTTTGCTCAGCCTAAATTGTTTGTCCACAGCGACACTGTGCGCAAGTCACTGAAACAGTTACATTCACGGAAAGTAAGCATTCCGCGGACAGACTGTCTCCCGTTGTCCTCAACGAATGAAGGATTTCTGACCCGGCATGTGGGAACTTTACAGATGCCGTGCATACAATAACATAAGATCGCTGACTAATGAGGAACTGCGAGTGTTACACTGATACAAAGAAAGGAACAAGTAAATACTGAGCAATTGACTATACTTAGACAACAGTAAAGACGTTCAAAAATCATTTGTGGAATGATTTTGACACAAAAGCAATCCAAATGACTCTCTCCAATTCTTCTACCGCAGTTCGAGTTCAGCCCAGGACGCAATAGCCTGCCTTGTGCATTCGGTTCTATCATGGCTAGACAAAAGAATCCAGTTAAATCGTATTTGTTTTCTGGACAACAGCGAGGCATCCGGCTGCGTAGAACGTGAATTGCTGCTGAGAGATCGACTAAGTGCTGGAATACATCCTTCTATCATCCTTTTATTAAGAGTTTATTTTGATCGATTTGGAAACAGAAGCTCCTCACCCCTAAGCAAACACACTAGAGTACTCTAGGGAGCCATTCTGTCACTAATTCTATTTGCCAGTTATGTAAACTCAATATCAACCCCAGAGGATGCGACTCTACTGTCATTAGAATCAATCGATCGATCACTGCGTCTTTAGCCAGATTACAAAATATTCTTAAAGACCTCCCGTTTTGGTCAAAGGTTCGCGAGATGACATTAAACATGTCCAGGTGCACTGATGTGGCTATTTCATTGCGCCGAAAAAATAGCTATCAACATCTTCACCAATAATGCTCGAAACCAACTCGATAGCGAGGGTTGCACATTAGTAAAGTACCGTGGTATCATGCTCAGATATGGTTTACTTTGGTCAAATCATATGGAAGAGACGTTCAGCAAAATCAACAGATTATCAATATAATACGCCTCATATCTGCGAAATCCCTGTACTCCAGGAGTTTATACTTCGTGTTGTCATTGTCTGTGCTCTTCTACACCAGACGTACTGCTCCTCTCAGGTGGTGTTCACTGATTCAGGTTGTTAAAACACTTGTCACTACGTAGCGGTGTGTCAAGGCAGGGTTTTGTTGATGCAATACTGTTCACTCGTGGGAGTTTACGCAAGCGACTAGTGTCAATAGTACTCACCGACACAAGCCACCCCCGTCATTGTGTATTATCGGAGTATGTGTCGACTGCGTCAAGCAGACAAGAGTACTAGTCCATATATGCCCGAACACGAGCTTATCGTTCGTCAGTTATTCCACATCTATGGCGATTTTCGATGGACCTTAACAAATTCACCCGGGAACTAACCAATGCGTTTACGCCATAATGGCATTGTTTTTCAATCAGCAATTTACTTTTTGAAGTTGCATTTATATAATGACATCCTACTGAAAGCGCATGCGTTATAACTAAAAATACACCCGTCTTGAGTGCATAAAGCACTTCCTTGACATGAAGACTGGACCGGTACATCGAACCAATTTGTCCTATAAAACGGAAAGACACATCGACTCAAAGGGGTGCTCAGATTGCTGCATGTGGGCAATCTTGACATCCGTGAGCGCTTCGCGCTGGTGACAAACGATTCGTCTACACGTTGATCGAAAGATCTCATGTGGAAGAAGCAACCAGTGACACACTCACAGCGTGTTCAGCAGGCGACTCGGACTTGACTTCATCGACCAGGAGAAATGGCTCAAGCGAAGTGCTCACCACAACATCCTGTGGTGACGAGCTACCACCATACAATTCAGCATTGGCTACAGGGGACGCAACTCCGTTTGGTGTTCGCATCAGTTGGTGCATCTGATTGAGTGCTTCTTCCATTGCCAGCATCACACTCTTATGGTCATTGTTCAGATCTGGAAATGGGGAGCAAGCGAGATGTGTGTGTGTGTGTGTGTGAGATGAGGGTAGGGAGGTGAAATGACTGCACAATAAAGTGGATACGACAATCACCGCCAGATGCATTCGTGCCGGCGAAAACCGTCACACTTAGCCAGTTGATTCATTGAGGAACACCGGAGAAAGTAGGCGGATTTTGGCCAGATGCATTTAATTCAACGCAAGTAGACTGCAAGCAGGACAGTCTAACCACCAGACACGGAAAGTATCAGATGGCCGTTTCGCCCAGTGGTTGTCGTCGGTGGTGAGCATTCCCTTGGTTTCCTTTAGGAAACCAAACTTATGAAAGCTAGTAGCTTTCACCATTAGTCAGCAACTTATGTCACAGAAAACAAGGGACGGTAGTTGATCATCAAGGATTGAAAGTTAACTTCGATATAGCCCGACATGAGTTCGGTTCCTTGAAGGGGACCAAGGGAATATGCACCACTGACGAATCAAAAGAGGATGAAACGGACGTCTGGTTGCGATGAACTAAAGAAATGGAGAAAGTTTCCGTGCCCTATCAAACAACAGGCTTCGACACGTCCAGAAAAGCAACAGACAGTTGGTTCGACCACTGAAATTACATCCAAATCATTAACAAATGGAGAAAGTGTTTAAGTGAGGATGGATTCGTGACTCAGTGCAACATAGGCTCAGGACAGATAGATCTTACAGCAAAAGTAGATTTCAATGGCCGCGGCAGCATCGTTGGTAACCCGGTGACAACCAGGTTGGAACGCTTTGAGTGCTCCAATGCACTGGTGAAATGGTTCTGTGCAGAAAGAGGTGCCGTCCAAAAGAGACGCTGTGCCTTGGGTTGTATATATTAAAAACATTTTGGAAATCGCTGTGATATTCACAAATGTTAGTCCAAAGGACCGAAACACAGCAGTCACGAGGTCAAAACTAGCCAAGATGGACCGGTTCCCGCAGATGAATGGAAGTAAACCATTAGACTTCGTCTACTGCGCGAATAGCGTACCGTAGACAGGCGAGCAACAAAAACTCCGGCTTAGAGACCCTGCTCGATTCCATGAGACCTTACGGCCTGTAACATAGGGACACGGCGGGAGGGCAGTGGTATTAGATTCCCAGTGAATGCCAGTTTGTCAGGCTCATTGAGTAAGCTATGCTGATGTCCACCAATATGAGTTAGGTAACATGCCCCTTGGTTGGAAGCTGAGACGACTGCTGAACTCGCGAGTTGCACACCGTCTGGGTCGAGTTCCTCGAATGTTCACTTACCTCGGTGTGGGCGGCTTGTCAATAGTGTGTATGGTGCAATGATGCCTCAGTATCTCCTGTGCGCAAGATGCCACGAAGATACGAAGAGACACAGTACAGAACCGAATCATGGAAGTTAAAAACGTCTGCAATAGCATCAGTAGTGGTTCGATACTGGAACCGATATGTAGGCTAGAAGTCAAGGTCCACTGTAAGCGCGCCCGTACTTGTATCGAGTTGTCTTCACATTTGAAAACACGAAAGCACTGTGGAGCAGTAATGTAGAGGCTGAACATCCGTCTGACGAGAGTGCACCGATCAAACGCTAATTTGTGCGGGTTACTACAAAAACGTCGCATATTATGTATGCGACCAATTATAACCATGATACTAAACTTTGCGAGCGGATTCGACTAAGTCGATCGCTGTTTTCTCTTCGATGAACTTGCTCGGATAGCTTGTGCCGTGAATTGGGTGAACGTTTCACGTGATCCATATTAAAAGTAATTAGCTCCTAATCAGGAAAAATCTGGCTGATCTGGATTATGCAGATGAAGTTGCCTGTTGAATAAGGTGTGAAACAGCACGAGAAACTCTCTCCATAACCTCGAAAACATGCGTTACGCAGCCTACACATCCAAGCTGCCGTAGTGCGAACATGCAACATCTGATTCCATCGAGCCTCGATGACGTAAATAGTCCATCGACATATCCATGTTGGCGGTTATATTGGCGATAAAGTGTGTGATGTGCAAATTATTTTTTGACTACAAAAGCTGCATCGCTACCAAGAGGACAGAATTCCTCCTGGATGTATGAGCCACATCGCAGCGAAAAACGTAGATCAACGGAGAACTGGATGAATAGGTAAAATATTACTGATGAGCAGACGGGTTTTGGATGAAATTATACCGATTAGTCCCAGTCGATCACAAGCCAGATAGTCGCATCATCCGGAAAGCATCAGATGATCGATTTACCCTATTGGGGATCGCCAGTCGAGCGCATTCTCCGGCTCCGTCAAGAAAAGAACTCATGATCGCCAGCAGCTTACGCGATTGAGCCAAGGGGACGGTTTCAGACTTCTGCAACCCCGAAATTAACTGAGACATGGCACGACGCATTCTCTATTGCCAAGCAGGTTACTACCACTGCAGAGCACTGTGGCTGGCCCCTAAGGTTACGACTTCCACTTAGCAGTAGCTATGTCAGATTAGCATTTGAGGACTATGAGGGTGAATGTTTGGATTACGAGTGAGTAGGGGAATTATTGATGGCATTTTACTGGTTCTTCCCAGCAACTCACAAGCCAAATCAGTTCAACCCAAAGCCGGAAAGGCACTGCACGGTGGTTTCGCCCTACTGGGGCACGCCAGTGGTGCGCATTTCCTCGGTCGCCTGCTGGGGACAGAACACGTGGCCGTTAGCATCAACAGCATGCCGATAAGCAGTACCGACGCTTCGCTGCCGCGCGCCCACCAGCGGTCGCACGTGGGATAAGGATACTGCTAGGGTCGCACTGCCCCTACACAGGTTCAAACCACGCTGTCAGATTACAAGACAAGCTCGTTAACTGTAGGCTAGGGGTCGGCATGGCGGCTAGCAGCTTACGCCAACTAAGCATCAGCTTGTGCCACTGAAACTGGAAGTGATAGCAGGAGAACTAGCACTTCGCTCGGCAACCTGATTCGTGTGGTGTTGAAAAAACGCGGAAAGGCCGTTCAGTACGGTGAGATGAATTACGAAAGCACACGAACGATGGATCCATTCATGGTGCAGAAAAACCGTGCAACTCGTGGGACTCAAGATGCAGTCAGTGGGAAAATGCTGGGGAAAGGATCACCTAGCTTCCGCAACCCAACCACGGTTCGAGTGATTCAGTTGGATGAATTGGATGTGACCGCAATTACTGGGATAAGAGTGTGGATCGGTAGAGTATAGCACGCGATAAGCAAACGATCCGCGTTCAGGTGGGCTGTGGGAACTATGAATCAAACGTCAAAGAGACCGCAGCTGCAACCTTTAGAGTTTCACAAATCTTAACGAAATATATTTGTTGCACCGAGCGAAAAGGAGACAAAGAACCTTGAGACCCCACGATACTCTATCGTGTCCTTCGGAAATGAAATCTGGCTAATCAAAAGACTGATGACTGTAATCACAGACGGAGTTTGCCAGAGAATAGTAGCCAGAACCTCAACGTATGAGCTCTTGGTATGAGAAGTGGAGTAAAGAACTCACGTATAATACGATTCCTAGCTGTTCGAACGGACGCCACATCAATGTCCGACCTGGGAAAGCCTTCCCTGTCCACCAGAGGTGAATCCATCCCAACATTTCCGTTCTGAACACGAATGGGGAAAGGGATGAAGCACAAGTTGTGTGGGGCCGGTAAGAACGCAAATAAGAGTAAACCGGTGAGGCGAATTGAGTCATGCGATTTAAACAAGATCCAATAACGGTACCTTCAAGCGTTTGAGGGGATCACGACGATCGTGTTATTACAATCATTAAGCACAGCAAGACATTAGTAGCTAACGATTTTGCTTCAAATGTATACAGAAATGAAGTAGCACAAGAAATCTTAAGGGTGAGGGAAGACCCAACTTTCCGGACCAATGAACCCAAAACTTGTCAACACCATACGATGTAGGTGGCTGTCACCTAAAAAAGCAACATCGATAAGACAATTTTCTTCGCGGAGCGCTCATTGTTTCGGGTTACGATCAACCTTGTCCCCGCATAATGCTGACATAATTTGACTGAGAGTAACCGTGATGAATTAGCTCTGAATTATACCAAAACCCCACTACTCAATAGTAATATAAAAATCTGTCCGTATAGCTTCTAAGCCCTATGTCGTACATAGGCAATATGCGGGAAGTCCTAGCTCGCGGGGATGACTGTTATTCTTTGCACAATTCGTAACTGGCATGAGTGTGAGAGATTAGCCGGGCTATAGCAGTTAAATGTTAAACACGCAGGTCTGCGGCTGTCATCCATGGCGAAATGGTACTAGCTGCTGACATGCGGGAATCGGAACCCGACAGGGATCCTATGGAAGGTGCACTACGGACGAGACCTAAAAGGTCGAAACAGCGCTATCTGGTGCGTTTTCAGACTTGCCAAAGCTTGCAGACTGCGAGTGGACCGTGATGAATTACTACTGAATTAAAAAAACCCATTACTCATTAGTAACTTAAAAAGTTGCTCTGGTTAATAGTCCAAAAATTAAAAACATGGACCAGTTGTACGTATTTGGTTGCGTGCCGAAATCAATGCCGACAGAGTAGCAAGGTCGCAAACAGATTCACGTGAGCAAGCAGTTAGAACATAACTTGGGATTCAGTAGAGAATTATTTAATATCAAAAGTTAAGCAATGAATCCGAGTCGCAACTGGGTACAAGGTGTGAAACCGAAAGTTATTCAGCCAAATGTGTTCCCAAAAACAGACTTTCCGGTTAAATAACTGGGTGATGAGGTAGAGTGTCACCACTACTCACCGACTGCAAAATTTGGTTCATCTGGCATATTTCTTCCTCGATTCGTCTCTTCCTTGAGGACAACTCGTTCAGCCGCGCGTTGATTTGTGCTCTATCACCATTGGTATTTGACATCTGAATGCTCATGCTTCATTGGCGATTCAGAGGTGTGGAAAAACTCTATTCGTCGTCTGCATCAATGGCTGGCGAATCAATCCGCTCAAGCCTGGGCTAAAAAGACACGCTTTCGAAACTGCTCACTCAGCGTAAAGACGGCAATTGGAAATGAAATTGAACAAATGTCAAAACTTGTTCTAGTGGGACAAAGCGACAAAAGATGAACGTATAATCATTGTATGGACTGAGCCATAAACAGGTGAAAACAAATCGACGATGATGAATGTGAGATGATACCTTACTTATTTATTCGGTAGGTGAGATGCCAACAATACTCAGTGGTGAGAGACTGTGTGAGTGAGAGATCGCGACAACTGTCTGCCTTGAGTTGGCTTCCATTCTTCGGTAGAAGAAAAGTACTATGACGAGGATGCGAAAGCATTTGAAAGCGAACAAAACAGTCCCCGAGTGCGTTCAATTTGGACGGTTCGATGAACCGATTGTCGAAATGGTAACAGCGGCGGTCCGATAAATGCACGACACATTTCCAGTGGTCCTAGGATGACTCATATGCGAATCGGTTCGAAATAGGTATGTAAAGTTGTGTATACCTTCGGTTTCTATCCAGCTACCTTTTAATGTCACAACGCACGGCTGCCGACGCTAGGGTATGATCCCAACCGTACAACAGCAAACTACACAACTGACTAAGAAAGGTAAATTAATAAAC